CGTGCAATGGTCTTCTTGAATGCCTGCAATTTCCCTATTTCTTCCAGCATCAGGTCCAAACAGTATGCAGCACATGGGCTCCAAAACAGTGTAGGAATCCTCTCCATTAGAATCCTACCCGTAGCCTTGTAGTTAGCCCCATTGTCAGTGATGACTTGGACCACCTTCTCCTTCCCAATCTCATCAATCTTCTTCCCTAACAGATCAGCAAGAATAAAAGCATCATGTACTTCAGTTGATGCATCAACAGACTCTATGAAGTATGTGCCTTCAAGGCTGTTCACAAGAAAATTGATCAGATGTCGGCCCCTCCTATCCGTCCATCCATCAGAAATAAGAGTGCAGCCATATTACTTCCATGCCTGCTCATGTTCCTCCCTCACATTGCTAGTCAATTTCACAGCATCATTAAGCAATGGTTCTCTAAGCAGGTGGGGAGAAGGTGGCACATACCCAGAACCAAATTGTGTTGTTGCCTCAATTGTAATCTGAAACTGTCGTGCTGCTGCTTAATTAAAGGGTATGCCACATTCATAAAACCACAATGCCCACTGCATATCCACGTAATGCTTCTCCTCTTTGGACTTAGTCTTAGCTGGAATTGTGGGTTGAGAACAGCCTTGACACCTTTGATCAACTATTTCTTCGGGTGTTGGACGAAGCATTTGAATAATTGACTTATTCCCCTTTGGCACTTCCTTGGTCTTCTTTGCTGTAGGAGCCTTGAACAAATAGGCTGCACGCCTTTGTTTGGTTGCAGTCCCTGAACTTGGCTACACCCTGGAGGTTTGGGATCCTTCAGGTGCACCTTCTCCAACTTCAGTCAATTCAGTTGCGCCTGCTTCCAGCACCACCACATCTGCTTCCTCTTGCTGTTCATCACCCTCTTCGAAGAACAATGGCCTTCTCCTCCTGTTGGATTCCAAATAATCTCTCATCTCCTTTCTAATAGCAGTAGTCGTTTTCAGACACATTTTGACATCTCCATAGCCACCTGCTAGATGTTGCTTCAACCTTTTTATCCCTCCACAAACCTCAACGTCACAAAGGGTACAAGTCACCTGATCTCGGTTTTGAAGGTTTGCCCAATAACCATACTTCTAGCCTGGATCATTTGACTTGGCCTTCCTTGCTTTATTAGTCTTTGGGTCATAGTTGCCATTGTTGATAGAAGGCGGACTAGCCATTCTTTCCTGTTGGCTGGTACTGCATGCAAAGATCAACAGTATCAACTATCAAGTAGGCACATGCAAGTAGCAAAAAATTATTAGCAGATGGCTTATGACTAGGCACTACATAGGTCACTGACTGAGCACATGGCTTATGGCTATATAGCACAAAGGAGGTGAAAGGAAGAGCAAATAAGAGGAGGAGCAGAGGAGAGGAGATATGCATATACCTGAGGGGCTGAGGGCGTCGCAGAGGAGCAGACAGCAGAGCAGAGGAGGCGCAGAGGAGTAGAGCAGAGGAGGACTTCCTCCTCGGTGGATTCCAGGCAGCAGGCGGACTCCAGGTGCCGGCGGGTGGACTCCAGGTGCTGGCGGACTCCAGGTGCCGGCAGACTCCAGGTGAGCATAAACACATGGTAAGTTTGCCATCATCTTCCTTTGCCTAACAATTGTTCTTGCATTCATGACTGAACACGCTTCCCATCTATCTGTTGTAGATTAATGTCCATGTACTGCGGTTTCGCCCAAGATTAGTGGTACGAATATTTGAGAAAATTTCTTTAATTAGCGATGTTCCATGCTTTTGTTCCTATATATATTTCCTGCGAAGACATTGCAGTGGACCCATCTTAGTTTACCAAATGATTGCATCGAAGTATGTGTTCCATGTCCTCAAATAAAAGGGCAGAGGTTACTGATGCTAATTGATTCTGAACTTCCTCTAAGCTCATATCTTCACTATCCAGGAGATTGTTGTGTCTGCAAAGTAGGTTATTCGAAATTGGACATGCTATAGATTTAATAGTCCCATTTAGTAATACAGTATTGGTCTTCCTTCATTCTTCCTCAGGTCATTTTTTACTTCTAATTTTCTGTTTATGATTTATTTTGCCTGCCTCCTGTTATATGAAAAGGTGCATTCACCTGCACCTACTGCTACCTCATAAGCATATACTGCTGCTAATTTCTCAAAGACCAGCTACTGTATTTTGCTACTGCCTCTTTTACATTGTCGATTATCCCTTCAGTCCTTTAAACAAAAGGTTGCTTCACATAAACAATTTGGAATTTTACCTGTACCCAGCACCTTTGAATGTTGGGTATCCTTTTCCATTTTTTTTCATGTGCTCCTTTCTTTAACTCACATTTATTCGTACTTATTTCCAATAATATGGATCTCAAAATAGTGTAGTAGCAAGAATATAATATTTGAGTCCGTCTGAATTACACGATGGCTGTTCGCACAGGTAATAGTAATGAATAGCAATTCTATGCATAAAAATAATTGAGTTTATTTTTCCTGGTATCTTATCTTTACATTTGTATGGCAATGCTATGGTCAGGCTTTCCGTTAGAAGCCTTCACCTTGACTACTTAGGCAACTAAGGTTGATTGGATTAATGACCATCCATGTCGTGCATTTTAACACTGCTTCAAGGGAAATGCTCCTGGGCTAAAATACCAACTGATTTGCTTGCTTCATCTTTGGAGAGTTGAGTCAATTTAGGTTTTGGACATATTGTGGAGTTGGCATCTAAAGTTACAATGATCCCAATTTGCTTGGGACTAAAATGCTTTGTTCTTGTATGCATGCAGCCAAAATTCCTGCAGCAAGACAGTTGCTTCACATTTTTCTCTCATAGGGTTGATGCTGTGGTAAGGTCTCCTCTATTTATTACATGCAAGTTTAATCTGAATCATTGGCTAATACTCCTGAGTATATGCTTTTTGGATGACATCTCTTCTAAATGCTTCCTTCGAGATCACCGGAATTGTTCAGGTACCTGCTATCCTGCGTCTATGGATTAGTTGTTGTATTGGTCAGTTTGCTTATTTCCCCTTTCTTTGGTTTCACTATGGATTTTTGAATTATGACTCCTTCGGTACTGTGAGCTGCTACTTATATTTTACATTGATCACGAAACTGCTTACCTCAATGGAGGCTATAGTTCTGATTCGCGTGCCGCATAAACTTATGAGCTTCACGATTGAAGGCTCTTCTCACTTGAGTAATTGTTCCTTCTGAAACCATCCTATGTGTCTCAGTGAGTTCTGCAATGTTAATATTTGTGGTTTAGAATTACTCACATAATTTTAGAAAACAAATGCGTAGCCCACGCACCTCCTGGAAGGAAAACTAGAAAATCAAATAAATTGTGGTCGGATTCAGAGGTCTAGAGGGTCAGAATTTTATCTAACTCCCATCCTCACCCCTAGAAAATTCAGCTTTGTTTCATAGTTACTACACGGTGGTTACTACAACATGCACGAATTTTGTTATTAGAAAGTCTAATCTTCCTGCTAATCTGCTTCATAGATGTTATAGTATCTGCTAAACAACAATCGCTTAAGAAATATTTAGAATGTTGATAGTTCTATTACAATAAATTTATTTGGTATGATAACATCTTTTATGTATGAAGCACTTTAATTGGGATGGCATATTTCAGAGGAAAGATGGACTTCAGTGATTGTCAAATAAAAGTGCTACAGTGGATACTTATGCACAGTGATACTGTATCCCAAACATATCTTCGGTTAGTCAATTAACTGTCCTACTGCTATTGATCTACTCTGCAGAAAAGGTAGTGCGGACAAACTAATGGTGTTCTTAGATGTATGGAGCAATGGGATGCCATACCAAATACTGGTGCTGCAATTGTGTTCAGCCCTTGACAAAGGTGAAATTATTTGTCCTCACTATTTATTAGTTTACATCTTTTGAAATAATCTGAACTTTGCAATTTGTGGATTACTCTATGAAAGAAAACCCCCAATCACGCACTGTCCCTGAATTGCTAATGCCTCATCATGTAACCCTTTTTCCTTTTAACGCGATATATGTGATTCAAGACTTCATTTCAGCATGTGTAAACAATTTGTGATCTTATACACTCGAAGCTCTTTATGCACTGCAATTTCTCAGTATAGTTCAAATTGAAGCATAGACAGACCACCACAACACCACTTCCAAACTAAAGATAGGCGTTCTCTTAATGCTTCTATGCAATATGAACCCACCTAAAGGTCTATTCAATGACACAACTCTCATAGTCACTCAGTTAACTCATTATATCTGTTGACCACTGTGATAGCTTTCCTTTTTTTCCCGCAGATCTTTCTTCGACAAGCAAAGAGTGGTGCTGCCCATGTTGCATATAATCATAGTGCGCTTTGAACTCTGATGTTTCATCTACTTCAAACAGAAAGAATAGGGCTTAGGTTGTACCTATAGATAATCTGTTTATAGGCGATTTTGACTTTTTGAAATTGACATTTAAATGACAGGCTCCCCACAACAATTGATTTCTATTTTTGTAATCTACTTTCAGAATTTCTTAATATTTCAATTACAGAATATATATTTATGTGTTTGTTGTTCTGCTGCTCCTCCTAGATGATAACAATGAATGAATTTGTCGATTCTTCCAAGATTACCTATTATTTATGCCTAGCACCCGTGGCATTTGCCGCGGGGTTCCTGCTAGTTTACATGAAGCCCAAACTCATTTGCTCATTTGTCCACACTCCACCGAGAGCTCATTTGCTCACTCCAGCCATAGCCAGCCTCTCGGCTCCACGGACACCGAGCTGACGAGCTCAAGTTCGGGCGGCTCCTAGGGTTCAGAAATCCCCCAAATCCCCATTCGAATCGAATTCGATCTTCAGCCTCGGCACCGCCCTACGCCGGAGTCCTTGACCGCGTCCATCTCCGGTGTCTGGTAAGCCCCTCTTTTCCTCCCCATTACTGCATTTCCCCCCTCGCATCCCCTCACACCTCCATCTCGCTCGGTCCCCGCTTTTTCACACAGATTGCTCTCGGAGGGAGGCATGGAGGCGGGCTGCTCCAAGATGAGCGCCGGCGCGGTGCCCGTCCTCCCTGACGATCCCCTGGTGGAGATCCTCTCCCGCGTCCCTGCCAAGTCCGTCTGTCGCTTCAAGTGCGTCTCCAAGGCCTGGTGTGACCTCATCACCGACCCTGACAACTGTAAGAAGCTCCGCCAACCCATGCAAGGACTGTTCGTCTAGACGTCCGAGGTCTCCTACTCCGAGGTTGACAAGGGCGGGCTTGGTGCAAGCAGTAGAGTCTTAGCGCCTGTGACCGGAAGGTCCTGGGTTCGAGTCACGGTCTCCTCGCATTGCACAGGCGAGGGTAAGGTTTGCCACTAACACCCTTCCCTGACCCCGCACAGAGCAGGAGCTCTCTGCACTGGTACACTCCTTTTCACCGACCTCACAGTGAGATCCGTGCGATTTTGCTTGTTATGTTCCCTATTTCTCAGAATCACCGGCTCTCACAAATAAGCACTGAAAGTGTGTGCTCTAAGTATAAGCTAGCAGGTTGGTTAAATTCTAGTCGACTCAGGTGAAATGTTCTGCTTGTGCTTGGATGTATGCCTTCTTAATTAGTACTGCAAGCCTGTTGAGACTTCGGATGTATGCCTACTTAATTAGTGCTCATGCTTGGATGTATGCCTTCTCATGCTTTTGATCTAATTAGTACTGCAAGCCTGTTGAGACAATTATGTAGTGTACCTTTATGGATGCAGTTATTATATAATGAATGTTGTTGCACAAGTTGAACAATTTCGATCTTTGGTGATAAGTTTTATGATTAGCATGTTTTTTGTGGCTGTATTAATGAGCAATTATTTACTGTGAATTTAGTTTGCTTGGTCGTGTGTTTATTTATGTCAATCAAATAAAAATTATCCTCCATATTTCGCTAATGTTGCATGTATGGAACGGTTTCAAACTGAAGCCTTCTGGTTACATCAAAAAATTTGAACTATAAGTCTTATTTGTGCTACAGAAAAAAAAACAGATGTGCTGAAGGGCGGGCCTGGTGTAAGCGGTAGAGTCTTACCGCATGTGACCGGAAGGTCCCGGGTTCGAGTTGTGGTCTCCTCGCATTGCACAGGCGAGGGTAAGGCTTGCCACTGACACCCTTCTCCAGACCCCGTACAGAGCGAGAGCTCTCTACACTAGGTACGCCCTTTGCTGGAGCCTGAGGAAACTTATATAGTTTTCAAATGGTAATATGTGCAATTAATTGTCATGTGGGCGTGCCACATCTTATCTTCCTAATAGAACATCAATTGTAGTGTTGCTAGAGGCATTCGCAAGGAACAGTGATCCAACCTGATCTGCCTGGAAGAATTGTATACTGGCTGTCAGGTCCAAAAGTTAGTTCTCTCCAAGAGAAGTACAATGTTGGACCAACCTGATGCTGAGAGACAGCTATTTGCTTATTTCTACATTTTATGAACCCTGAGAAAAACTGTATTAACAGTTAGCTATAGTCAATTGTTTTCTTTGCATCAATCAATAGTTGAGTTTGTGCTTTCATGACAACTTATGGCATGTTCTTTTTTCATGTGACATTCACATTTAAATCTGTATACTGAAGTAATTCTGAAACATGTCCTGTGTCAGGAGCTGTCAGCTCCTTGCTGAAACCTTTAAATTGACTCCAATTGGTTGCTTGTTCTTCCTTGGAAAATACAGTTGGATCGTTATCCATCAGAGGGAAAGTAACATAACCTCCTGCTGTTTTTTTCCAAACAAAAAGTAACAGCATATATGCAAGGGATTCTTGTGAGAGAGTTCATGTAACCCAGAGACGTATGAAAAATCTTAGACTCGTTGCAGTAGAACATGTAATTTGTGTTGAGGTCAAAATCAGTTTCAGTATGCTGTGGTTATAGATGTTGCAGTGTGGTTTCAGACAATTCTGTTGTGTTTTCTTCCCTTGATTTTTCCCTTCACAGGTTTTGAAACCACTGAAAATTAATTGAGGTGCAACCTGCTCCAACTGTTGGCTGGAAATTGATTTATGTAACAGGTGTGACATCTGTCGAGCAAAATTACATGAATGCATCACAAACTCATGAATTAGCTGTTAATTATGCAGGTACTATATGATATGATATTGCTTTTATTTACAAGATATTCCCGAGGTCATTAGGTTTTCAATGTTGTACTGACAGTTAGACTAACTTATCATTGTTGTGCTCTGCATAATTTACGCGGTTTCCTTATTCATAGAGATGATTTATGCTGCCTTCCATGCTTCGTAAACAGACGCTGCTGCTAGTTAATTCAACAATTGAATCATCCTATCTGATCCATACGTTAGGCATTCTAGGTGCATTGAGAAACAGAAAAAAAACTAACCTAACACTCATGAAAAGTCATGTCCCAATTGCTTGGCTGGTTTCAGTCTCGGAGGGACGTGTAGCTTCTGTTGCTGAAGTTCCTTCAGAAGCTTCTCCTGACTTTCTTCTGGCTTCCTACTTTCACGTGCCAGACTGTCCTCTTCTGTGGAAGCCTCTTTGACTTGCATACACACCATTCTCAAAATTGGCTTCCTCAATTTCAGAATCTCTTGGCTTCCTAGTTGATTGTGGATCCCAGAAAACTGTCCTAATTGAAGAACTGCCATTAGCGGCAGAAAGCCCTGCATCTAACTTTGTTTTAACAGAAACTGCCAGAGTCATTGCGTGATCACTAATCACAGTATCATTGGGTGGACAGTGAACAAGATTTGCCAATGCCTTGTAATAGTGGAACAGGGCCAACGATGGCAGTGACAAATCCCCTGTCCCGGCAGACATTTGCTGACTTCATTGCATGTTTGCAAGGTTCCCCTTCCTTGATCAGCTACAATCGCACAACGCAAACTCAGAACCTGGAGTCAGTACGGCGTTGAACTTGTTGCACTAAAAAAGGATTCTAACTAAAAAGAATAAAATTGGTAATCCATAAGTGCGGCAAAGAAACGATTCTCTGCAGAGCACCCTTTTTCGGATTCTAACTTCGCTGAAGATGCACGATACAGAATCTTTTCCGGATCAAGGTGCCACAACATCATTTGGAGCCGTTTCTAGTGATTCATGTGAGAATCACATCCAATTCTCATGACCAAACAAGGCCTAATTTAAACATTAACATCCTTTTGAGGTTAGCATCATTGGCCTCTCTCACTTAAAGCTCTACCACCAATCTTGAGCGCTAGGATTATATTAAACGACCATATATGTCATCATTGTAGTAACCGACATGTTTGGAACGTAGGAATTTCACAGGAATTGTACAGAAGCTTCATAACAATCATTTTGATTTTTTTGGGAAAAAAACCTAGGAAAAATTCTCCGTTCCAAACGGGGCCTAAGCATGTGTTTGATTAAGGGGGTTGAAGTTGATTGGGGTGGGTTGGACCCAGTTTTGAGAGTGTTTGGTTTAGAGACTAAGAGTTTGGGCTCATCCCCTAAAGGGAATATTCTCCTTAGATGTCGGTCAGGCTGATTCCTCCGAATCGAGCGGAAAAGGGCAAGCCACTTCGCGCAAGCACAGGGGACGCGTGGCTGAGCTAGGAGCCACGACAGGAGGAGCAGGCGGCACTGGACGAGAGGAGTAGGGTGCCGCGGCGGCCGCCGCACCGGCGTAGGCGAGCAGAGGGTGCGGGGCAGGCGCAGGTGAGCAGAGGGTGAGGGGTCCCTAAAACAACCATTTTGCTTGTACTTAGTACATGAACTGATTCATTATGCTGAGTTAGTGAATAGTACGGGCCGAAAATTCAGTTGGCAAGTTTGAATTCACAATTTGACATTATTACTTTTGTGTTTTGATCCTTGTACGAGATTGCCAGCATGAAAATGCTACAAATTGTGAGGACCCACGACAGAGAGGAGCATATCTCTTTCAAATTTCAATAAAAGACAAGATGATCGAGGAATTCCTATAATTCGGTTCACGTTCACGGAAATTAAAACTTTAGGTAGCGCAGAAATGAACCAAATACAAGAAATGTTGTACGTTTGCCAAAGTAGAAACTAGCAGGTTTGGCCAGAACATTGATGTGAAAAGGTCTTGAACCTTGAAGAATATTGTAAGTTGGTCCGGATTGGGCCAGGTGAGTTCGTTTGCACTAGAATGGAGTGGGCTTTTCCCCAGCACAGCCCGGCCTAGTGGTCGCTCGTGGCCCATGACTAGTGGCGAGTGACGACGGGCCTCCGTCCGAAAACCCCAATTCTCTGTAGTTGGCTGCGGCACGGCAGCTCTCGCCGGCGATCAGCCGAGAAATCGCCAACGCTGGAGAGATCCAATACAACTGAGGTGGAGGTGATCTCGCGGCGACGGCGTTGGGTCGACGATGCGTGACATTTGGGAGAAATTCCGGGCAGCTCTGTGCATATCCGAGGGAAACCGCCGCACGCCCCCAACCCTTTCACCCCCGGATCACGCCGCCGCCGGTGACGAAGGCGGCGGCGGCGAAGGCCTTTCACCCCCCGGATCTCGCACCTGCCAGTGATGAAGGCGGCGGCGGTGGCGGCGGCGAGGGGGAGAAGGAGGACCTTCTCAGCGCGCTCCCCGACGACATCCTCCTCCTCGTCCTCCTCCATCTCCCTTCTGCCACGGCCGCCGCGTGGACCTGCGTCCTTTCCCGCCGCTGGAGCCGCCTCTGGGCGCAGCTCCCGGAGCTGCGGTTCCCGCTCCCCGCCGAGGCGGTTGTTGTGCGGCGCTCGTCCGCCATGAGGCACCCGCGCTTCGGCTCCTGAGCGTCGTGGCCAACGACGCCGACCCGAGGGACACGGCCGCGGTACTCCGCCTCGCAGCGCCCCGCCTCACCAACGAGCTCCTTTTCCACAACGTGCTGACGAAGGTTCGGGAGGCCGGTGTAAGGGCCACCATTGAGAACTTGAGATGCCCTGCTTCGACAGGGCCGAACGGCTTATCCTCCGCTTAGGTTACCTTGGTCTCGTGCTGCCACCGTCCGGCGTGTTCACGAAGCTCAACATGCTAGACCTGGCCTACGTCCAGTTCCCAGGTGCCTGCGACATCGGCGACGCCTTCTCGTCAGCTCGTTGCCCTTGCGACAACTTCGTCACGTCGACACTCAAGGGGTGTCCAAACTCGCTATCTGCTCAGAGTCTCTCCTAAGGTTGTGGTTGCAAACTGTCAAAGGGTTGCAGCAGCTCACTGTTGTGTCACCAATGCTGATAGAACTGAGTATTTTTTAATGCTTC